ATCAGCCACACCACGACTAAAAATGTACAAAAAGGAAAAAAAAAAGTTTAATTCCTCAGTAAAATAGACACTAAGCCTTGTCTCTAGCACTACGGGTAAGGGCTACACTCGCCGTGCCGGGCAGAGGTGGATGTAGGGGGAGTGTTGGGAGTATGGTACAAAAAGAGGAGAAACTTTGGAGGTACAGAGACTGCTTCAAAGCCGTGTTTTGCAGGAAACAGGTGGAATTTTGTGTTTTCCTCTCCCACCTTGCCTGCACTGGGAATGTGAATCCCAGCCCCATACCTGTGGTCGGACTGTTGCCACCACAGTGCGTGGGAAGAGGGGACGTAGGGACACTCTCAGTGTCTGTCCTTGAGAGGAGCACTGAGGGCACTGCAATGTTTGAAAAAATAAACCAACAAAGCCCCCCCGGAAGGGGCTGTGTGGGGTGAACCCACCAAAGCCCAGCGATAACCTCACTGTCACCAGGGCCAAAGTCCGCGGCGTGGCCGAGCCAAGCTGATAAAGAGCCTGGAGCGATGCTCACCCCACAGCACGGGGAGGGTCACCCCTGCAAACACCCCAGGGCTCCTAAGCCCACTCAGAGCTCCATCCACCCCTGTGTCTGCTTTCCTTCCAAAGACTCTCAAAAGATAGGGAAACAGCTTTCTTTTGGGTCTTTACTGGCCTGTGGGTCCCCTCTCTGGTGCCAGCTCCATCCCCGCCCGGAATTACAGAGGACCTCAGAGGTAAGGAGCAATTTTCAATCACGTCATTCTCCCCAGAGATTACAAGGGTGGCTTGTAAGCACCCAAAAGAGCTCCTCAAGCTCAGGTTTGGTGGCACAAAGGCACAGGGAGGGGCTGCTCCACTCTCCTTGGCAAAGGAGCCGGGGCTTTCAAAGTCATCCCGATTTTCTGCTTCCAACTGGATAAGGAGACGCAAACTCTGCCAGCGTGAAAATGATTGAAGCTAAAATAACCAAGGTAACCCCCAAACAAAACTGTGGGGTACCAAAGCACATAAAAGCTGGGAATGGTTGGCAGTGAAGGATGGAGGGATGGCAAATGTCTCAGCTGGATCTGTCCCCCTGAGTCCAGAGGATTTGGTCCAAGTTCACCTTTATCCAGGTTTTCACTCTGAGGACCATATGGCCACAAAAAGGTGCAGATGCCAGCCAGGGATGAAATCCACCCTAAGCCTCCCAAGACACTGAACTGGAGTGATCTGAGCAAGAGTAGATGAGATCCTCAGCACCAAATCAGGCTGTCCAGAGCAAGTCGCTCTTGGCGCCCACGTACCAAAGAGACCCTCTGTTGCCATGGAGAACATTCCTGTGGCTCTGCCACACAGGGGAGGGTGGGAATGTCCTTGCCTAGCTGGAGACCACCTTTCTCCTGGCTCCTCCAGGCAGCTCAGCCCAGAGGATGATGAAGTTCCTCGACTGGTAGCCCCAAACCACCACATTGGTTGGAGGTAGAGCCAAAACCTCTTGAAACTGGGGGTCCCCAAACCCCGTGGTACTGCAGCAGACCTGCAGAAGCCCTCAGGCTTGGACGGCAATTAGGATGTGGCCTTCCCACAGCTCCCACAGAAATGTTAGAAAGCCTCAACCCCAGCCAGTGAGTGGCCAGAATCTGTTAAAATTAAGCCCTGGGACTCAGGCATGTGGGTGTCCCTGGCCAGAGGACCTCAGGACAGGGCACACTGCAATGAAGCAGCTCCTGCAGATGGTTTAAGCCATGAATCATGGCACTTCCCAGGCAGCTTCTGCAGCATTGCTACCCTTCCCATCACAAACACCACCATGCCCAGAGCCCTCCCAGCTCGGCTGTCCTGCTCCATGCCTTGGCAGGAGCAAGAGGAGTTAAATTCAACGCCTCACTCTGGAACAGTAGGAAGATAAAAAAAAAGAAAAAGAAGAAAAGACAACAAGTTGGTTTTGAACACCCTCAAGGTAAAGATTTAAGAGGCAGCCCCAGCCCAGCCCCGAGCGGGCGCTGCTGGGACACGTCCTGTGCTCACTGTACACTTACATAAGGCTCTGCAGCTCTGCAAACACCCCGGGCATGGGGTGAAGTGGGGCCTTCCCTGCTCCCTTCCACCCTTTTCCCACCTCGGGGGCTCAACCTGCTCCCCTGCCCTTGCTGGCTCCCAAAACTGGCTTAGCCTGGAGTGCCGGGCTCCCCCTTCCCCTCCTGGAGCAAGGGAGAGGGGCAGGAATCACAGCCTGGCACTCACAGGAGAGGGAGAAGGTTGTTTTTTTTAATTAGAAAACTGAGTGAAAGGCAGTTTTGGCTGTGAAGGCAGCTGCCTGCTCAGCCCTCACCTGCCCAAGGAGGATGTGGATGTGCTGGGCCAGGATGAGTGGATCCTAATGGAACAGAATGGGTTTTGGGATGAAGCTTTTTGCAGCAGGTAGGGATCCATTTGGTGTGACATCATCAGACCATCACAGGCTAAAAGGAGGTTTCGGAGGCCAGTGCAATTCCTCCCTGTTCATAGATGCTCCAGTCACCACAATCCCACCTCTCACATGCCACCAGCTGCACAAATCCCTGTAAGCTGCCTGATACCGTAACAAGCCAAACTAGACCCACAGCAGCAGTTTGCTGACAAACCAACCCCAAATACTCCCTTTATGTCGTCAGACTGCTCCAACCTTTGCCCTTCCCGTTCCAATCTGTGTTTGCTGTCGAGGTGACCCTTTCATTGCTGTTGTTCAAACCTGCCTTCCCTGCTGCAAAATTTGCCCGTCTTCAGCACGGGCAGGATTTTGGCCAGCTAAAGATGATGAATGTGGTTTCAGGAGGCTGGTACCAGACATCAGTCTGCAATAGGATGAGGGCTGGCTTCCTGTGATCAAAATGGGGTTTGCCATGGGCAAAGACCAAAATTTAGTGGGAACGACTGTGGCTGGCTCGTGGTTGACATGGAGCTGCTCCGATGCCACTGCAGTGCTAAGCACTGGTTGCACTAGATGCAGGTTCCCCTGGGAAAAGACCTTTGTAGGCATGTGGAGCAGTTAAGACAAGTGAATTCTGCAGAAATTTGGGATTTGAACCATAAATCTCTTTATGAGCCAGGGAGGTTTTACCGCAACAAAGTCTGGGCGCTGCCATCGGTGGCTCTGCTGTGCAGCCGCTCACTCAGCCCAGACAGGGCTTGGAGGCAGCTCTGCTCGTCCTCTGCTTGGCCTGAAGAAGCTCCTTGTTGAATTTAAATGCCTCGTAAGCTCTCCTTCGGGGGGCATTAAGGTAAAAAAATACGATTTATGGAACTTCATCGAACTCCCATGTTAATAAATGCCCAAAACCACGCAGAAGGAGTTATGATAAGGTGTTATTTCTTTCCTTCAGCTGTCAGAGGGCTTTGAAGATACCCCATTCCCACCTGAAATACATCACTTTAACACCCTATTCTAGGCTAAGCCTGGCAGATCCCACCACAGCACAGACGCCATGGTGCCTGCCCTGCCTGCCCACATGGCTCCAGCTGCCTCCTGTGGGCCCCAAAACTGAGTGATGGGTCAGCAGAGCCACAGCAGACAATGCCATGAAGGGTAAGAGCAGTCATGGAAAAGCATATTGAAGAAAGAGACAAGTAGACACCTCATTTTATAGTCATAAACAGACATATCACAGCACATCAGGTAATTTTCCAGCGTTTCTGTACGGGGACAGAAGGGCCACAGGACCACAAAACCTTACGATGCATTAACCAACAAGGGTTAAAAACAGGGCCAGAGGGGCATGCAAGGGCCTGAGCCTATGTACAAATGTCCCACCACTGACCATGGGAGGGGCCTTCCACTGAACCCAAATATCCAGAGCAGAGATTTGTCTTGGTGTTACAGACCCCCACACTCACCTGGACACCAAGGGGTGATTCCCATGGCCCACGTCCCCCTTCAGGCATCTCAGCTTTTTAATGGCAGTTGAACAAAATGAAAACTCAATGAAGGATGGGTTTGCAGCCAGGATAAAAGTGAATTTTGTTTCTTGCTCTCTCCCAGGAAAAAGTACCCCAGTCACTGTTGGCTCCTCATTTACACAGGGACCCACTGGGGCAGGAGAACTTCCCTCCTCGCTCATTTAACCACACTCATTAGCAATGCCTTGAGATGATCACAGAATTGTGGAATGGTTTGGGTCGGAAGGGACCTTAAAGCCATTCCATCCCCTGCCCTGGGCAGGGACACCTTCCACTATCCCAGGTTGCTCCAAGCCCCTCCAACCAGGCCTTGAACAATTCCAGGGATGGGGCAGTCACAACTCTCTGGGCAATTGGAATTTCTAAAATTTTCTCTGGGCAATGATGAATTTCTTCACAAGGCTGAACTCTGCTGCCTCTCTGTGTGGTGGGTACCCACTGGCTGTGCGATTTCCTTGTGCTCTCTCCCTCTCCCCCCAGGGACAGCACTGACCCTGCACCAGCTCCCCACGACAACACACAGGCGACGAGTGAAATGCTACAGGGGCTTTCCAACCCTTTGGAACACCGGGCTTCCCTTGCCAATACTGACTCCTGGTTATTGCTGCAAAATACACAACTGGCCCCTAAAAAAGAGCAGTGGCACCCTGTGCCCTGAGCCAGCAGCATCCCCACACCCATGGGTGCCCCTGTGCCCAGCAGGGAAGCCACGTCCCAGCACAGAGCTGATCCAGGACTCACAGGGCTCTGTCCCATCCCCGTGTGCCTTGATGCCTCCGAAGTGCCTGTCCTGGTGGCGATCCCAAGGATTTGGCCCTGTGGATCCAGCCACTGTGGGCTGTGCCAGGAGCTGCCCCTCTCTTTTGCACCTCAAAAGCCCAATCATTAGTCACTGGGTGAGAAAACAGAGGTGGAAAGTGGCCAAGGGACCTGCCGGTCTTGTCCATGCATTTTTAAGGCATATTTTGCAGGAAGGGTGTGCTCCCACGTGGCTCCATTTGGTGGAGCCGGCCGAGCTCCCAGTCGTCCCGGCTGCAGCTCTCTGGGTGTGCAGGAGAGCAGCGGGAAAGGGGGAGAGAAGAAGATGGAAGCAGGACTTGCTGACATTTATTTGGTTTGTGCATCAGACTAAAGCAGTGCTTCCTCCTTCGGATCTCTGGCTCCAAACAGGCCCTGGTGCTGGATGGGGAGGGGATTGTCTCCCTTGGATGTGACACCCCAGTAACACCAGAGGAGGAGGAGGAGGAGGATGGACAGCTGCCAGGTCCAACAAGCTCCATCCATGGCCTGCTTGAAAAAGGCATTTTTAGCTGTAAACCTCTGTTGTGATGTATAGAAAACTGGGGAGAGGAGCGGGAGATCGATCAAGTTTGAATCCTGGTGAGAGTTCTCCTTAGAAAATGGTTAGAGGAAAAAAAAAGGTGGCTTTGAAATCAAAACTATCCCGAGAAAGAGCGTTTCTGCTAGTTAAGAGCCTTTAACTAGAAGAACTTTTTGTGTTTTCTCCTTTACAAACATAGTGCATCTGCAATCACTGGGAATTACGGTCTGTCTGCAAAAGGGCCTGTGCTGGGGCTATGGAGAGGCTGCTGGTGGCCGTGGGGTGTGCGGGGAGCGGGGTCACATGTGCGCTTCGGAGGCCGGGCAGCCCGGCAGCAGCTCCCCGTTCACCACGGCCTCCGACACCAGCATCTTGTCTTTGCCGGAGTCCAGGCGCTGCTTCTTCAGCATCCTCTGATGGACCAGCGGGACCACGGAGAGCACCAAGGCGCCGATGATGGGGGGGACTCCGGCGAAGTAAAAGGCCGCGTCGTAATTCCCAAAATAATCATTGAGGTATCCTGCAAGAGAAGAACAACAGAGGTTAGAGCCACATCAGGCTAAGCCCTCATTAGTCTAATGACCAGCTTGTTTCCTCCTTCCCGTGAGAGCTGCAGCTTGCGTCAACCACCAGATTTGGGGAGATTTGGGTTTTTAAAATAATCTTTTTTTTTTCCACTGCATTTCTTGAAGTTTTTATGCCTTGGATTGAAGGATGTGTGCAGCCAACATTGTGTACCAAGAAGTCAAGAAGAAAACCCTCAGCCATCCTTCCTGTTTAACCAGAACAGGACACAATTGGACACATCCCAGACAATCCCAAATACAAGCTGAGACACGTTAAACCAAACACTTCAGGTGGCTCTTCCCAGAGGCTTGCCAGCCAGGAGACAATGGGAAAAGTGTGCAGGGGCTGCTCCTCTGCATACTGTCTCCATCTGGAAGCCCTGCTTTGCTTACAGGTATTTTATCTACATTGCCAGTCACAAACAACAGCCGAGCCCTTAATACCCAATGAGGTTCTGCATTTGTTCATTTGGCAAGTTCTAACACAGCCAGGCATCCTTGGAGAATAACGCGTGGCCATTGATCAGCGCTGGAAAATCTCTCTGAGTTTCTCCTGCATAGACACTTCCCTGGGGATTCAGTCAATGAAATGAGCCCCTTCACCCAGCGAGTCCAATGCAGGGGGTCCTGCAGCAGCACCCTCACAGTGAGGGTCTTCAGCCCCCAAGTTCCTTCATGAGGGTGTTAAACTGAACTTGGCTGCCAGAAGCAGAGATCAGAGGATTTTATCCAGCTTTAGCTTGTTGCTTGCTGCTGCAGACGTTCTGCTGTCCAGGGCCAGTTCTGGCAAAGCCCTTGCTGTTAAGGGTGTTGGGGTTATTGCTGTGCTTAAACACAGATCCAAGTCTTGTGAAGCTCAGGTGTCTCCATCTCTAACTTTGAATCAATCCTAGAAAACTGATATCTGCCAATTTTTAGCTCATCTTCAAGCAGAAATCAAGTTAATGTGACCTTGGTTCACTGTTCCCCTCATGATCACCTTTGGAGAAAGGCCCCGAGATATTATAGGATGTAGCATGGAGTGATGCCACACCCATACTTCAACCCCCCAGTGATATGATAAGCCAGAAAATTCCAAACCATGAGTCCAGTCTCACACCAAAATACCAGCATGGGTGAAAGCTGCTCCCAGCATGTCCCTCCCAAAGGCGGTCCCAGTCCGGCACCGCGGCGCTACCAACCTGCTATGGGTGTACCCGCGGTCATGGGCACAGCCATCAGCCCCATGAGGTACCCTATGGCCTGGGACGCCTGCATGGGCCCCACCAGCTCGAAGGCGATGGGGGCCATGATGGTGGTGAAGAAGCCATCGCAGAGGCCGAGGAAGAGGCAGATGACAATGACGCCCTCAAAGCCTTGGCACTGGGGGATCATCATGCACAGGATGCCCAACAGCATGAAGGATGCAACCTGAGGAGGCAAGAGTGAGCATGAGGAGTGGGCGTGAGGAGCGGGCGTGTGCAGCAGGAAGAGTCATGAAGGTGACACTGAACAGGTCAATGTCATTGGTCTCTCCTTTGGACAGAGCAATGCCATCCATCCGCTGCGCCCGTCTCAGAGGGGCCCTTAAGAATAACCTTTTAAGAAGGGTTAAGAAGGATTATCTGCTGGATTAGCTGCTAGATTTCAGCAGTTTGTTCTTCAAAAACCACAAGAAGGTGAGAGGGTGTCAGTAGTTTGGGAAGAGTTGGTACCATGGAGTTTCATTGCTGAATGGACACTGGACAAGTGTGTAACTTCCCTTACACATTTCTATAGTACATTTTCTTCCCTAACAGCAGATAAGGCTGTTAGAAAATAGTCAGTAAAGAGTTTGCACTCTGATTGACCAGATTAAGCAGACCAATGCAGAGATGCCATTCCCTGACCCACTGTTGTTGGCCAGCAGCTACTAGAGGGTTGGACACAACATACCTGCAGGTAAATCTTCTTCAACCCAGGGATGCAGTCACCAATACGGCCTGAAACCAAGCGCCCCAGCCCCGACATGCCTCCGAGGCAGACCAGGAGGATCCAGTCCTTTTTGGTCTCTTTAAATCGCTTCTCCACGTATTTTACCTACAATGGAGGGATGGACACAAGGACATGATGCCTCAGTAAAGCTGATCCCTGTCACCTCCCCAAAAGGGATGAGATTTCCTGCAGCTGGCTCATGTTTTTGGGGGTGATTGTGTGACCCTCATGTCCTCACCACACTGACCTGCACGCACCACCTCCACCCACCCCAAACCCAACAGGCCCTTCCTCTCCTGCTACCGATGCTTGTTCTTGGGAGCCGTGGGAAGCGGCTGCTCTGCCCACCCTGGCTCAGAGGACATATAGAGGCATCAAAAGGCCATATCCTCTCACCACTATTCCTGTTTGCAGGATGTGTAGCAGTTTCTTGGCTTCGAGGCGTGTGGCCCCTCTGCCCCTGCTTCCCATCGCCCTCCTCCCACCCCCTCCTCGCTTGCAGGAGCCAGGGATCTCCCTCCCCTCCTAGTCCCAGCCAAGGCTCTTACCAGGTGCATGTAAGGTACGAGGTATCCCAGGACAGCAGTAGCGATCCCAAAGGCCCAAATCCGATAGGTCTTTCTCCGGAAAACCCTCAAGTTGAAATACCTGCGCGTCTGGGCCCAGCACTGCTGCCGCGCGCTCCGGCTGCCCAGCTTGTCCTGCCCGTCGTGCTGAGAGTCACAGGAGGGCGGCAGGGTGGGCCGGTAGGTCATGGACAAGAAGATCTGGATGAGCATTAAGGCACTGAGTACTTGGAAAGTATGTGCCAGCCCAATGGCCTTCCCGACCATCTTCAGGAAGAAGGGGAGCGGCACGGAGATGAGGCAGCTGCCGCCGGCCACGATGCCATTGGCCAAGCCAAGGCGGCGCTTGAAGTAGTGACCAAGGATGACCAGCGAGGGCTGGAAGGCAAAGGAGCTGCCACAGCCAAAGAGGATCCCATACGTGAAATAACGAACTTCCAGAGACCTAGCGGGAAAAAAACACATGGAGCTGGTGACGTTAGGCAGAGGTGGGGAAGGTCAGGAAGCCTCCTGCCCTGTGGTCCTGCAAAACCGTGTGTCAAGACCCAGGTCTCCCATGCCACAGGTGCTACACAGACAGTCTGACCCCAAGGAGATTACTCCCAAGCCAAAGCAAGGATTATCCTCACTTCACAGCCGGCACATTAAATCTTCGGGAAAATGGAGTTTAGCTGGGGAGGGCTTTCTGCAGCCAGGAGAAGCAGCAGCCAACCTGCCCTCCTTGGGAAGCTGACGTAACTTCAATGGTTTTTAAATTACAGCAAACAAGATTTTCTTAGGTAGGAAGGGTGGCCTATTTTTAGCTAGAAATCCTTTTTATTTTTCCACTGAAAGGACTAATTCAAAACATTCTGCACCCAGTGTAGTTTGAAAGCACCAACCCTGCTGGTTATTAGGCACGTAGGAAGGAAACATGGTGTTTCTGCCCAAGCTTCAGGTTGGTTAATTAAGTTCTTCTTCTTTAAGCTCCTCTGGGAGCTTAAATTAGACAGTTAATAGATCTCATTTGTACCTTACATTGGTGGCTGCACTCAAGGAGGGAGTGAAGTGGCTGCTCTATAGAGCAGATGGAGAGTTCTGAGAGCCCTTGGAAGGAGCTGCTTCCCAATTGCCAGCCCGATTTTCCCAATAGAAGCATCTGAGAAAGGAGCCTGGTGTTAGGTCGTGCAAACAACCTGTTATGTTTCTCTCCAGATGAAGGATGTTTTCACTTCATGACGGGACAATACATCCAACTGCATGAGACATTGCCTGGGAGGAGAGCGCGACAGAGACCTGGGCAGCTCATGATGCCCAACCCTCCTGTGTAATACTGAGTGATGCCCATGAAGCAAGCGAGGAGACAGCAGCCCACATCTAACAGAGCAGCTGGAAGTTGGGAAAACCTTTACAAGAACATAATTCCTTCCATTACACGCTCGTTTCTTCAGCTTGCCAAGCAGAAAGCAGAACATGCTTGCTGTGCCCAACGGCTCCGAGACAAATGACTGTCAGGAAAGGCACTTTCCAGCTACTCCAGGATGAAACCACATCAGAAGCCCCCTCTGTGGGAGCCAGGGAAGCAGCTGGGCCATGCAGGCTGTCTCCGACCTCCCACACACCAGCGCTGGCCATCTCGGCTGGGTCGCACCAGCTTTGGTGCCGCGGCTGCGCTGACGTGTCGGATAAGGGGAGACAAATGCCCCGGTTCCCATCTGCTCCCTGTTGATGCTAAGACACCCTTGCAGGAGCAGGGGCTCCATCCAGCCATGCTTCTTAGCCAGGATTTCCCAGCCTGCTTACTGGGAATCAGCCAGCTGCTCTCCAGTGGGAAGGGCGGCATCGTCTCCCTTGGATAACAAGGTCACCCGTGAATAATGACATCTCCTGGGACAAAGAGGTCTCCCTCCATCAGCTGCCTCTCACTTCCAGCTCTCAGTGGGAACAGCCCTGGTTCATCCCTGCTGGTAGAAGCTTGGGGGACTCCTCTCTGCAGGATAAACTGGGCAGAAATTGTGGAGGGGAAGGAGAGGCAGATGAAGAGGGACTCAACCGCCCCTACAGAACACTTAGCTGTGCAGAGGAGGAGGGCTGAGAGAGCAGCCCTGCTGAACTGGCCATCATCTAAACACGCTGAAACACCCCTCTTCACACTGGAGGAAGGGTGAAGCCTTAATTGGGATTTCTCTTTTCTTGAGGGCACACAAGATTTGTGGTGGCTTGAGCTGATTACAACTGCAGGAGACACCCCTGTGCAAGGCAGCAGAGAGGAAAAGCCTCACCTCGACCCCATCCAGCCTTCCCCAGAGCTCGGCATTGCAGCATATTTGGTTTCTTTCATGGATTTTGTACCAAACTCCCAACATTTTGAGAGCAGGAGGCCCTGAGCTGGGCACTGGAGTCCTCTTGCACAGGCTTGGTGCCTCACAGGGTTTTTGGATCAGCTTGGTGTAGTGCTGGGAACTGCTGCTCCTCTGTTTGGACAAAACAACCCCATTTCAGAGGAACCAGGAGGTAAAGGGGGGATGAGCCTTGATGCAGACCTGCCTCAGCCCACCAAACCCAGGCTGTGCCACTTTGCACCGGTGCCTGCACTGGGGAGGTGATCTCAAGTTGTGTGGGGGGAAGAGCTGGCAAGCGGGACCAGAAAAAAGGTTCTCCATTGTTCTGGGTGAGCAGGAGCCACAGGCTCTGAATTTCAGGAGCAGCCTCCAGCACGAGGGCGGGGCGGTGCCAAGTCTCGCAGCCTCGCTGCTCTTCCCCCGGCTCCGCTCGGCCGCGCCGGCACAGCTTCCCTGCTCCGGTCCAGCTGCAGAGGGGCTCCTTTCTCCCTTAAAAGGGAGCCAAAGGAATGTGATCCAAGAGTGAGAGGCAGGAAATGGGGATTTCAGTTCTGCAGCTCTCCTGGAAATAATATTCTTCTCTGCCTGTACTGTTTGATTTTCTTTTCAAGCCCAACACAACCAGCCACTTGCAGCGGCCGTGGTCCCATCAGCTCTTTTTCTTTGCACGAACACTGTACAATAGAAGGGGAAAAGTGTCCAAGCTCTGTTGATTAGAAGGAAAGCAGGATTACATGGGAAGCTCCTGTGATCTGCACTGCCAGGGCACACCTTCCCTCAGGACCCACTGCACCCTCTCTGATTGCTGTTATCTTTGGGAACACAAGGCGGTGGCACCTGCGAGGAAATCGCAGAGGGTGGTTCCTTCCACACCGCTGCCTGAGATGGGTTTAGCGCCCCAAAAAGCTCGGCTGCAATCGGCCACAGCCCCAGGGGCTTTGCCCTTTGCTGCATCCCCGCTCCCAGCACAATGGGGGGGCTCCCGCCGCTGAGGATTTGGGCATCCAGGGAACCAGGGCTGGGACAAGCATGAGGGTCTCACTGAGCAGTGTGAGTGGACTGGCTCCCATGCAGGGTGGGCAGGAGGAGCACAGCACAAGCAAATTGCCTTCTGGAAAACTAGTGCGTATTTGCTTTAAAAACCCCACTTCTTGAAGCATTTTAATTAAAACAATGTTGATTTTAACTGAAATCCAAGCCAAAGCAATGTTTTTATTCAGAAGAACTGAGGCAAATGCTGCTTTGGAAGTGTCTCCACGGTGACTCTGAGACTCTGTTTAACAAGTGTACCCCAGAGGTGACCTCTTTTTGCTCCCACAAAGATGCCAACGTCTGGGTTGGAAAGACACACAGGTACACCTGCCATTTAAATGCACATCAGCCGATGCCTGCCAGCAGAATTTCATGGCGTGGGATCAGGGATGGAAAAAGAGGAACAGCAATGGCCCTGTGCTGCTGCAGATGCCTGAGCTGGAGCAGGAACACCACAAACTGCTCGAGATCCTGTCCATGTCCCCCTCCCTGTCTGTCCTGCACAGAAACTCCCTCTCAAGTGTAGTCCATCAAATATTATTTTAAGCATTAATTTACTTTCAGCACCAAATGTGAAAATGGTTGCGAAGGAGAACAGTTTTCTCTGTGAGTGCCTCTTTGGAGCTGCCCATGACAGGTACACCAACCTCTCCTTCCTGTTTTAAAGATCAAATTAAGGACCTGAGGCTGAAATCCCATAAAATACAGTCCCTTGCTCAGGTAAAATTTGCTCTTTTTTTTTATATGAGGACAAAAGAGCAACTTGGTTCAATTTGTAAAGAAACAGGTTGAGCACACATGGGCTGTGTGGGGTTGCCAGGGCACCCCTCAGCTGGATGGGAACCACCTGCTTTGCCCCAAAAGGCAGCAGCAATGTGTTGGCAAGGGGGTTACAGGGCATAGGGAGGAAGAAGAGCTCTCCAGGGAGCTGTGTGTCCCCTCCCAGCCTTACTTGGTGAAGGAGCTGCAGAGGAGCCCGATGAAGGCGATGGCAGCTCCCATGGCTGCCGTGGTCCTGCAGCCGAGCCGGTCGGTGAAGATGCTGACGATGGGAGAGCAGAAAAAAATCATGCCCATGGCCAAGGAACCAACCCATGCTGGGGAGAGAGAGAAGAGAGGTCATGGTCAGGGTGGGACATCGAACGGGGGCAGGGGGGACACAGAGGCTGACTCCAGCCTTGGCGGCAGAGAGGCAGCCCCATCACACTGTTAATTAACAGTGCAGCTCATCAACAGCACAGGCACCACTTGTACTGCCCAACGACATCGTGGATGGGGCAGCGTTGGAGGTGTGGACAAATCGTCCTTGTATTCCTCTCCACTGGGTTTATATGTGCCCCAGGGAATGCACTGAGCTTCCAACACTTCTTCCTAACAACCTTTGCTGTGCGTGTGATGATGCCCCCACTGGTGCCACTTCCATCAGGACATCTCCAGGCCAAAAGCTCCCCAAGCTCCTCAGATCCCTCTGCTCCCCAACTTTGTCTAGGAAGAGTTTCCCATCCTGAGTTACAGCTCTGCATTCCCAGGTACCACACTCATCCATCCCTGCTCCCTGCTCTCCAGAGTCAGGAGTCCTCACCTCCCCCTCGCCCCACAGTCAGGGATGAGTCCTTGCTGCAGCTGAGCCGATGGAGACACATGGTGATGCCAGGTTAGATTACACCCCTGGCCCTGCCAGGTGATGCCCAAGCAGGACCATGCCCTCCTGTCTCCTTCCAGCCACCTCTGGAGAAAACCACTGTCCGTGTGTCTATCTTTTCCCAGAAATTTTTATTATTCATGGGTTATTTCAGCCCATTGTGGAATCATGGAATCGTTACATTTGGAAAAGCCCTTGAAGATCCTTGAGTCCACCCATTCCCCCAGTATTGCCAAAGCCAGCACTAAACCATATCCCCAAGTGCCACACCTATGTGGCTTTTAAATGCCCCCAGGGACAATGATTCCATCAGTGCCCTGGGCAGCTGTGCCAGGGCTTGACCACCTTTCGGAGAAGTTTTTCCTAATCTCCAGCCTAAACCTCTCCTGGCACAGCTTGAGGCCATTTCCTATCGTTCATCGTTTTCCCCCCGCCCTCCACCTTCTCTTTTTAATGGTTTATGCGATGTTTTTGGGGAGGAAAGGCAACGTTTCAAGAAAAGCAATGTGGTAAGAAAAAAAATTTAAATTCTACCAGGTCTGATGAGAAGGGATCCCCTGGCCGATGTGTGGGGCAGGGCAGAATGGACAGGTGGACAAGGGGCCTCCAGCCCTACTCAGCACCCAAGTGGAGCGACCTCCTGGAGCCCCTCCCAGCTCCAGGCACTGGCTCTGGGCTGTCGAGCACAGCCCCGGGACATGTGTTCCTTGCTTTTTTTTATACCATTTTCAGGGCAGGTTTTTTTTAACCCAAACAAGGGCTCTGCAAACCTTTTCAGCACAGCCCCGCACAAAAACACCCTGTCCTTCCAGAGCCGTGAGATCTTCAGAAAATAGCCAGGTCCCTATTAAAAGCAAATCCCAGCTATAGAGCAGCCTCTCCAACCTCTGTCTTTCAAAAAGGACCACACAAAGAAGCCCTCCCCAGCCTGGGAAGAGCTGACCCTTCCAAATTAATTATAAGTTCACAAGGACCCAATTTACTTCAAAATCTTCTTTAATAAATGCAGAGTGGAGCAATAAAATGAAAAGCAAGGGCTGTGCGGGAACCTCGTGGGACCAGCCGGGCTCTTGTCTCGACACCAGGCAAAAACAAGGGTGAGGGCGAGGGAGAGGACCCCCCTCTCCGACTGATTTTCTTGGTTATAAACACAAGGCACAGTGTAATGAAAGTCCTTCTAACAGGATTAGGTGGCACGGATCCAAAGAGCCGTCCAAAACAACTCCAAGAGGGGGTGAGGGGTGGGAGCAATGCCAAGGTGGGAAAGGCTCGTTAAATTGGATAATATACTTCCAGAAATGTTCCTTCTACTCCAGCCAAGGCAGTAAAACATTAGATGGCCCCGTCATGTTTGAAGTTTGTTATTTTTGGAAATTACTTTAAGAAACGCGGAAATAAAAGCATAAAGCAAAGTATTAAATTTAAAGGGCCAGATTCTGATCTTAATAACCCGGGGATTTACATGCAAATAAGCAGGATCAATCTCTGGTCCTAAAAATGCACACTCACCTGCAGAGATCAAAGCAAACCTGGGGCGGGAGGCTCAGCAATGGGCGCTTCAAAGCTCCTCCAGCTTTGGGTTTGTAAAGAGGAGATATTGCTCAATTAAAATCGGTAAACACACCAAAAAAAAGAGTCCTGTGGCAAATTGCTCTACCTTAGAGAAAGGGCTTACCACAAGCAATGAATAAAAATAGGCTTGGGGAAGAACACCAAGTTAAAATTAGTAAGAACAATAGCCTCACTTCCAGAGCGGGGTTTTGTCTTCCCAGCGCTTCCCAGCGAAGCCCCGGGAAGCCGGGAGGGCTGGGCGAGCTCCAGCGCTGGAAGGAAACCTCGGCAAAATCTGGGAGATCAGGAGAAAGCCACCTCATTCTCAGCTCTGATCCTGGTGTGATTCACACCAAAACACCCCCTGAGAGTGGGTTACACAACTTTTCCCCCTGCTTTATTCCCACTGTGATGTCAGTGATCTCCATCCATCTGGATCTGGGCGAGGTTGGAGGAAAGTGATGGCAGAAAACCATGGGTTGGGAAAATAGCAGAGTTCAGGTGAAGCATAGCCCCAAACCTGCCCCTTTGGACACGGAGCCGTAGTCCCTGGATCCACTCCAGGCAAGAAGGTTTATTTCTGGCAATCTGTGTAAGTGGTATTGAAGTTTCTCCTGGATGTGAAGGGCAGAGGCAGCCATTCCTCCAGTGGAAAGCAGACGGGGCTTAACCACCTTTATTTCAGCAACTCCTCCAACGCTGGAGAAGTTATGACTTGATTTAAAGCTCACAGGAGAAAAAGGGAGGAATCTTTGCTTCTGATTTCCATGGGGATTTGGATGAGATGGTTAATTCCCAGCCCTGCCACACCTCCAACCCTCTGTGGCTGATAACCTGGGCGAGATATCGAAGCACAGACAAGCCCCCACAGGAGCCACACAGCCTTATCAAGCAGCGAGGTGCAATCAGGCAGATCCTAAAAGAAAGGATGGACCAAATCCAGCTGAGGACGGGGCTGGAAGAAGCTCAAGAGCTGCCAGAACTTTGACAGGAATCGGGTTAAGACTTGATTGTCTTTCAAGATGCCCTGAGTCCAACCACCTCCTGGGAGCACAAGCTGAAGGGGCTGCTTTTGGAGCTGCCCAGCTGGGTGCTGGGAGAAAACCAGTATGGTAACACCCAAGAAACATTCTCTCCAAGGGGTGCCTTGACAGAAACACAAAATTCTTCAGAAACTACATTTTTAGCTTAAGAAAAAAAAAAGGCATTTTAAGCACTCTGCTTTTGGTGAGGGAGAAATGGAGATGACTTCTGATTTGGGGGCTGGAGGTATAAGAGGTGACTCAAGGCTCACTGTCCCTCCCCAGCAGTCCATCCCACCCTGCTCCCAACACAGCCCCTCCTGGAGGCAATGGAACAGCAGCTGGGACCCCCCTGGTACATAACCCCCACTCCTCACTGCTCCTTGAGGGGCTGGGGGACAGCAACAGCCCCGGCTGCCACCCCAGACCAGGCCACCCACAGCCCTGCCTTCCTCCAGTGCTGATGGGACCTTCCTGGTGGTCCTGGGATGCTCTGGGGTATGGGAAGAGCCCAGCACGGGGCTGGTGCTGCTTTGCTGGAGCAGAGAGGGTGACCAAGGAGAGCATTCCACCAGCAGCTCTCACACAGGGGAAAGCTCCAGTTGAAGCTCCACAGATTGCTCCTTCCCACCTTGGCTTTAACAAAGGCAGCCAAACTGGCAGCCTGTGGCTGGTCCAAAGCAATGTGGCCTTCACCGTGGACAAGGAACACAGCGGTTGAAGATCGCCAAGGGGAAAAGTGATTCAGTGGTGTAGGAAAACACAGAATCAGAATGGTTTGGGCTGGAAGGGACCTTAAAGATCATATAATTCCAAACCCCCTGTCATGGGCAGGAACACCTCCAACAAGACCAGGTTGCTCCAAGCCCCATCCAGCTTGGTCTTGAACACTTCCAGCTGTTCTGAGTAACATGGCCAAGATGATCCATCCTCCCCAACACTGCTCACTCTGGGCTCAAGACAGAGTGAAAGCTGGGAAGGTGACCCACTTGCCCACCAGCCCATTTGCCCACCAGCCCAACACCACCAAGCTGTGCCCACAATGGAGGAGCTCTGGGACCAGGCTTTGGCCACCAGGTCTCCTCCTGCTGGCAGGTGACAAGGCTGCTGGGGTCCCCGTGGCAGAGGAGAACTGGCACGTGGGGGTCAGGGGGCTCAGCCTGATGAGGGCTGTGAGCACCATGTCTGCATGTTCATGGCAGCAAGAGGTGGGCAGGGCCCCCAGGGTCAGTCCAGGTGGGTCCCACACGCTGGACACCAGGTCAGCTTTCTTTTCAGCCAGACCGTTCAAAAGGATGGAAAGCTCCTTCATTGCTGGCACTTTCCTGAGTAGAAAAAGGTTTCTGGGAGCAGAACAAGGTGGGAACAGGAAGGTGAGAAACAACAGAAGAAAATATCACCACTGAGACACAGATCCAAACCCTGCCGGTATCGAGTTCATTGTTCCAAAAAACACCATTAAAAAATCATACTGTGTGGAACTTGTGGCCAAGCCTATTTGTTCCTTTAAAACTGAATCTCCAGGGAGAGAGAAGGAAGGGACGTCGCTCTCAGCTGTGCTTTCCCGCTGACCCAAATACCCTGGGCTGGAGGGATCAAGGGCCAGGAGGTGACCTCAGATCCGCCACTGGAGGAAGTGTCTTCCCTCGCTTCCCGCGGCTTCTCCCGCTCACGCCGCACAGCTGGGACAGGGACACGATGCACAGGGTCACCTTCCCCAGCACCTGGTACTTCTCTGAGGTGATTCACCTCCTCCTCCCCACCTGTACCGCTCCTACAAGAAATAAATGATTTTTGGACTTGTTCCAGAGACAGGGAAGCTCTACTGGTGTGACAAACCTTGTCACATACCTTCAAAGCCCTCCCCAGCCCTACCTGGCTC